TGAGGTGGGAACGTTACCTCGACTACGGACGTCGCTTAAAGTAATTAAATTTTGAGCTAAGGAAAAGAATGAATGAATTTTTAATCCCAAGTACTTTTTACGTCAATAACAAAGTTTTTGATACAATAAACATTGATCAATACGTTATTTATTACAGGATAAAATAAGCATAAATGCTAATTTTAGAAAACAGCACTGGAAATTTGTACTTGACGGTCGTAGCATTTCTGACACTCGCCATTTTGTCCATGTTATGTATTTACTTTTCAGAAACAAATTAAATATTATTGAATTCTTGAAAATTTTGCAGACAAAATCAGCCGACAGTGTTTCAATTAATATTATTAAATATTAATCAAATATATTATATTGTGAGTTCCAAAACTTGAATTCAATGTAATTTATTGTAATTACTCAGTATTTTAGGAGGATTCGTTTTTGAGACTCTTGTAAAAATTATGAGTTCCACATAACCCAATTGTAGTAGACATGAAATAATATAAATTCACATATCCTGTCAAATCCTAGCGTTAACATATATTATTGTGTTTAATTGCAACGCGTCAACTGGTTTTAAGTGACCGAGCACGAATATGGCAGACAACACACGGGTGCTATTATCATCTTCTAGTTTACGTTACCATTTAGTCTGCTACGTCCTCGTCTATCGAACTGTGTGTGTCATAACCCTGAATATGAGCCTTCACAATTGGGAAAGTCTCGAAATATATGATCTTGTAATATATTATTTATTTAGGACTATCGATAACTACTCAAATAGATACTTAATCTTTTTAATGTTAGTGGGTTGGGACTAAGTCCCTTGTACTGCGGCCACTTCTGATCTATTGTATCAGCCCCAGATGATAGGTGAGGGTGATTGTGGAGCAATTGGTGGAATGAAGATTGGCAGGGGAAACCGAAGTACTCGAAGAAAACCTGCCCCAGCGCCACTTTGTCCACCACAAACTCCACTTGACCAGACCCGGGATCGAACCCGGGCCGCCGCGGTGGGAAGCCAGCTACTAACCGCTTGAGCTGTGGCGCGGCCAAATAGATACTTAGTTATTGTTTTCTTTATTTCCTTAACAGTGAATAAAAATGATACATTTTAAATGATTATTTAACTTTGATGTCGATGTATGTGCTCCTTTTAGTTGTGCAATTTGTGATAGGTGTATGTTCTTAAAACAACCATAAGCCTGAATATCAGCGACGGTATATTACAGTTACTATATAAATTTATGTGTTATGACTTCTTTTCTAATGCAGGATATTGCTGTAAAATATTTTCTACACTAAAGCTGAGCATACACGTGGCACAAATTACTGACGTTATGAAGTCTGTTAATTAAAGAAACATTTACCCCCCAAATTACTCGGATTATTCTACAAACTTCGCCTCACTAGAATTTTCTTCAGACTTCAGGGATTAAATTTATTTAATTATTTATTTGTAAAAGGAGAAGAAAACCATGGGAATAAATATTGTGTACTTGAAAAAAAAACATGCAATGGATGTCAAAAAATGGCGATCGCGCAAGTTAACTCTACACCCAAAACCCATTTTCTATTCGGAAACTCCCAAATAACGATGCCATTTTCCGTAACTCAAGATATATGCTTGTATAAAATTTCTTTCCATTTCAACATTGCGAACGCGCTGACGACCAACGGCGCTCTGATGGATGATGTACGCCGTATTTTTCGAAACAGTTTCTTAAGGCTAATAGTTTGAACAACAGAAATGCCGGTGAGCTTTATATAGTTACTGCAGGGCAATATTTGAACCTAATTCTGATTTGGAGGATGAATTTTAGAGAAAATCTTGGAAGTTTTGAAAATTACAGCAAAGCAATAAGCAAACGACAGAAATACAAAATTGGAAACTATAAAAATTAATTATACTTTTATTAATAATGCATCTTTACTTTTTATACAATTGCAATCTGATTGAATAAATTCAGAAAACGGTCTAGCATACCCAAAATTGGGAACCAAGTTCTTACTTAATTTTTGTGCAGAATTTGTGCTGAATCCATTTCTTATGTTCCTGAATATAACGAAAGAGATACATAAATTTAATTGACCGAACAAATTTATTGAGGAGAATATCATAATCATACCTTCATATGATTCCCTTTGGGTGTGTATAATTCTACTATTTTATTTTTCAGACGTTGCGTTGCAGTACCTCACGATGTCAAATGACGAATTGTGGCTCGTTAAAGAGTTTACTGAGGACATGGAAAGGAGATTTGAGGTAAGAAACTTCACCCCCAACAGTTCAACGGTTGTCTATGAGCAAGCAGCGTTGCATTATCATGGCATAGAAGTCGTTTGATAGAGATCTGCTTTTTTACTTTTTTTGTGTTTGGCATAAAGAGATTTTGATTTTAAACGACAGAGAATTTGCTTAGGTTGCAAGAAGCTCATGGAGGTCTTTGTCTCGGTGCCTTGGTCTTAGATCACTTTTTGCATGGACGTTCCTTCAGACTGTTTATGATACTTGATAGATATCACGCTCTCTACTTGCAAGCGTGTTTCTTTGTTAGGCCGTCAGTGGATTGCGGGCCTCGTAGAATTCCGTGTGTTCATGTCTGTGCCACTAGTCTCTCTTTCACTTACTTACTACTTACTTACTCGTGGAGCTGAGCCCTTCTGGAGGAGCCGCCAATTCCGCAGCTACTCAAGAATTTCCCGGGATTTTATGGAACCCGAAGGTTCATTACCGTGTTCACAAGAGCCCTCCACTGATCTCTATCCTGAGCCAGATCTATCAAATCCATACCATCCCATCCTATCTCTCTAAGATCCATTCTAATATTGTCCACCCACCTACGCCTTGGTCTTTCCAGTGGTCTCTTTCCTTCTGCCTTTCCCACCAACGTCCCTTTCACTATATGCAATAAGTGTTTTGGTTACATTCTGAGAAAATCACGAATTACTATTTTACTTTTCTCTTCTTATTTGTTTATAAGAGATTAAATAAAAGTGTAAGACGAGCGCGTGAGGGCTTGCATGTGTTTTTGCTGTGAGAGGAAAGTTTAACTGATACCCTGAGTTAATGGTGGACCATGACAAAATTAGCAGTAATTTCAAGGGCGATAATACTGCAACAAAGAAATACATGTCCTAAACAGATGCCGTGCATTGAGTTAAAGCGATGTTGAAATGCTACAGCTGTCTTCTTTCCCTCGTTGGGAGCCACTTACAGTTGGTCAGGCCCCGCGGTGTTAGCGACTTATATCACTTTCGCCCTTTCAGTAGTAGAGTTTCGGAGAATGGAGGGCGCCGAGTTGGACGCGACCTCTTGTAACGGTTTAGTTTGCCGCCACGTCCGTGGTTGTAGAACTCATCTGCTTTGAGGTTAACCTTACCTCCTTCCTTTCCGTGGGTGTTGATATGATTGGTTTGAAAGGCTGAAGGACTTGTTTGGGCACCATTTAGTCACGAAGCGGCGGTGTCTACAAATTTGTAGGGTGCCTTCTGGCAAGGAGATGTAGCGGGGTGACTAGCTCAGTCTTGTGTCTGGTAGAACAGGGGATCAGACCCCAGGTCTTACCGGGCCTTCACTAGGAGGACACGAGGAGCACTGTAGGACACACGCATGCTGACATTGACAACAATGGTTGCACTTGCTGGTTCATTTATGGAAGAATAATTACGGGGAAACTGCGCATGTAGTCACACCGATATGCAAACGAGTACAGGTCCACTTTAATAACGTTAAGCACTTTATTGTTGGTTTTAAGTTGAATTTATAGCCGAAACTTCTACTATGATCCCTTAATAATTTAGTATTTAAGAGGGTCTAAATAAGTGGAAAGGCATTTCTGTGGAGCGGGGATTTCTGTTTCCGAATGCTTTTCAAGTCGAACCCGGAGTGTTTTTGGGAATTAATCTGCTCTGAATCAGCTAGCTTCTCAGAACGTCAGCTTCCACCAGAAGTTGCCTCCCTCAAATATATCTTATTGGCCTAGTTCAAAAATTCCTGGTCCCAAACTTTTGTATTTCACAATCAGATGGATTTGGTAAGCGAATTTAGCCCTTATATCACGAACGACACTCATGAGAGTTTTTTGATATAGGCTACATAATAAACTTGTTTGGGTTATCGGGCTAACTTAATTTTGGCTTATTGCTTCTCTTACTTATGAAATATCATGTAACCAAAGCTCTGTCGTCGTGTGTGAAACAGTCAAAAGTTCTAGGAACTGTTGCAAGTGACGGCATGCTCTTCACACAGCAAGAATGTGGTTAAGTCGAGTTCTGAATGTAAGAACCTGACTATCTCCTTAATCCAAAATCATGATATATAGCTTACAATTTAGCGGTCTTAACCAAATATTCAATAGAGTGCGCCTAATTATAATAAACTATTAGAATGCCGAACTGAATTTAAAGACAATTCCGAATACAACGACAGCATTCTAGCGATGAGATAAAAACTAAACAACGACGTGTATGGCAGCACGGTGAACAAGTGAACAGTGCAGTGGTCTCACCAAAAACAAAAGAAAAATTGCCTGATGATGGCCCATATGCGGTCGAAATATGTTGTAAAATGAAAAAAAAGTAAAACTAGAAATATTTTAGTAATTTGATAATCACTTTTAATGTATAAGCTATACTTTTAGTGTCCTAATGATTTTTTATGATTTCAATATCATACATATTTAAGTCACATTTTAGTGAGAAACATATTCTAGATGTTACATAATTGACGGGTGCTTTAAGAACAATGATAATTCTTCAATGCAATGGGATGGTAAAATATAAAATTCCAAATGATTCAGTGTTGCATGTCTCTTTGTCATTACCAAATACATCCGAAAGAAATATGCGGGCGATACAGCCTACCGGCGCGATAAGTGATATAAATAGTGCATTTTTATGCTGATATGCATCCTGCTGAAATGCCTATAAAATCGTCGGTCATTGTACCCTTCTGCACTGTCGACCCATCACAGAGGAGGCCAGCAAAGTCCCAATCCTCCTTTGAACCAAGGAGACATCATGCTTCTGCCTGGAGGAGTAAAGTGTTCCGCCTCAGTCTAAGAATGGGGCACAGACACTTTTGTTTCAAGTGTTCGTGGCAATGAAAATGAGCCTAAATTCCCTCCCATCCAAAAGTATTTTCACGTAGTATGTGTGACTACACGTGGGGTTTAGACTGGTGAGTAGATTCATTGTCCACTTACAGGTTGTGTCTACAAATAACTATAACACTAGCGCTATTTCCATACTTCACAATTCACTAGAGATCACAGTCTAGTGTGCTCAGTGTGTTATTAGAAGTTTCCTGGTAACGGCTCCAACAGTGGTTATTCCTCTGCCCCCTACTCAAGTCCCCTCTTCACAGACTCCCGTACAGAACAGGCTTGGTCGCCCCAGTTGTCTTCCTTATAACATATCTGCACGGACCAAGTAGAAACATCTCGTTTCCGAGAACACTTCTATTGTTACTCGTCGATTCGTTGCTGCGGGAATATATTTACCAAGCCGTTGCTCAGAAACGGCCTTGGTATATCTGCTTACCTAGAGGTCATCGCATAGTAACGGCTTTTCTTGCTACAGTATTATGGGTATTATGTGACGTATAAAATTAACCCTTAAAATGTAAACATTTTAATAAGAAAACACATTGTTCTCTCATTACTAAAATATTGGCACTGATCCACCTGTTCGACCGACCACGAGCTGCAACTGGTAATAGAACACAGTGTTAAAAGAATGAAAGATCTCTTTTGGATCTCAGGTTCTCACAGGGGCAAATATCAAGAGTTGTGTCTGGTGGGGTATAACACCGTACGGTCTAGTAAATATCTAATGAATTCCACCGAGACTATTTCAGTGGCCTCCTTCACAAAACCCTCTTTTCAATAATACCAACATTGCAGCCTCTAAAATTGTTGAGGCAAAACCTCAGTATTGCTTGGACAACGGTACCAAACTTAATGAAAATTGAAACGTAGATCAAGCCAACGGTGTCAATCATAAATTCATCCAATCAATAATACTAACATTACGGCCTCCCAAATATTGTGGAAATTACCTTAATATTACCTGAATGTCTTAACAATGGTCATGTTCATTTCGTAAGAATTTCATGGCATCCGAGGCGATCACAACAACATGCTTAATGGATTCCTTCCATCAGTAACACCAACATTGCAGCCTCTAATGTTCTTGAAGTAACAACATTAATATCACTTGAATGTCTGAATCTAATTACACGAATAACTTCATGAAACTCGGCATATATATCACGCGACCTAATGCCATCATCTCAGCGGCATACTTCACAAATACCGCCGATAGGTAATACCAACACTACATCCTCTCAAGCTGTTGAGATATTAACCTAAATATTACTTCAGTCCCTGAAATGATCGTCATAAATATTGGTATGTATGTCATGACACCTGAGTCAACCTAAGAGAGTCATTTTCATTCCTCCACGTGATCCAGATCGGATTTTGAGTCAACCCGACCTCCTATCCAATGGTTACCAGTTAATCTCTCTCCCGGGGTGAGGGCAAAGCGGTCGGGGCGTGAAGCTGACCACTTATCTTCATCTAATCCAGAAGTCAAGAATGATGGAGCTATATTTATAGTTAACCAAGTATCTTTATGGTTTAGTGCTTAATTAATTACGCACGGGGACAAGTTTACTTTTACTATATACTCCTATCTGTATCAAATGCTCCAAATTTAGTGAAAGAAAAGTGGGTGTTCAGTTGTTCCCAGAACTTCTTGTTTGGTTTCCTTTACCTCCACTGTTTCCTGTAGGTATTTGTTGCTAGTGAAAATGTACCCCAAATATTTTCTCCTGTTTTTCTAGAGAACCCTAAAAGATAGGTCATAAAATGTTAGCTTTAGCTGTTTCTGCAACGTTTCTCCGAAACACTTTCTCTGTGATAAATATTGTGACATGACGCCTGAAAGCCGTAAGAGTGGAGCCAGAGCTTAGCGAGCACGTTCCCGCTGCAATGAGTCACTGGAATAACCTATTGCTGTGCCACGGTTCTGTGAGTACGTTCCCATGTCAACAGATGAAACAGAATAATATAGGAACCGTTTGAGATGGTGATCTATATTCGGGTCACCTGGAAGTTAATTCAGTCCAGGAGAGTTCAATTATTCGCATTCATAAGGGAGTCCAGTGATTCAGTCATAGTGACTCTTTAGGCCTACAACTTCTTTATTACAACCGTCACAACACAATAAATATCAAGGTCAGTAGCCAGCAACGGCTCTGCCTTGATATTTGTTGTGTTGTGACGGTTAATAAAGAAGTTGTACTTTCTAACACAACAGGATGCATGAAATGAAAATTATAATGACTCGTCTTTCGTCACAGCGGAAGAGAAGGCTCTCTTGGTCCAGTAAGGGCTGGAGCGAGTCTCAGACAGTCATTGATTGTAAGCTCTTATAACTGACTGTAATTGTCACAGAAGTGCCAGTAAATCCAATCATCCAATCAAGACCCCGTTATTATTAGTCACTCAATCCCCTCATACGTTGCTATATTTATAGAGATGAAAGCGGAAGCCATTTTAGGCCGTCACATAAAATCGCCGGTAAACATATCAAATATGAAACTGAAACTGCTAGACCATTTTTCATAGAAATTTCTGACATCGAAAAACTTCTTTCTAGAACTTCTTTGTTTCTATGATATTTTGTCTGTTTACAAATCTACTGTTGGAAGACAGGAGCGCATAATAGAGAGGGACATATATATATATATATGTAGGACAGGATTACATTAACACATTTTAACTCTTCATATAAATGCATACCTCCCGAAATATTTTATTTACAATTTTTCTTACTATTCGGCAATATTTTATTTTATTAATCTGTTATATCAATATTTTTAAACCATAAATATGTTTCTTCTTTTTGAAGGACAATCACGACAATTTTACAGGCAACTGTAAATTTAATGAGTTACATTTTGAGCTTGTGACGTTCTTCCCATTATGTCAGACCGAGAAGTACTCCTCAGGAGTGCACTGTATAGACAGCTTACTGCATTTTTTATTTATGTGCAACTAACAATTTAAACACTGCATACACATGTCAGTACATGAGTTCAATTTTTGTATCTATTTCAGCTGACAGTAGAAGCATGTGATGGCGAGGAGGTGAAACAGTGTACAAGAATACAGACTCATGTAAGGCTGAAGTTAACAACAGAATACGAACCGACGTTCGCTCAGTCTGAATGGGAAACCTCATTCACAGGTAGAAAGAAGCAAATATGATTATTAAAGTAACTTCAGTAAACTATGTGTAACTATGCGTTAGAAGGCCGCGCCATAGCTCAAGCGGTTAGTAGCTGGCTTCCCACCGCTATTGCCCGGGTTCGATCCCTGGTCTAGTCAAGTGGGATTTGTGGTGGACAAAGTGGCGCTGGGGCGGGTTTTGTCCGAGTACTTCGGTTTAGCCTGCCCTTCTTCATTCCACCAATTGCTCCACAATCATACTCACCTACCATCTGGGGCTGGTACAATAGGACAGAAGTAACCGCAGTACAAGGGACTTAGTCCCAGCCCACTAACAATATAAAAAAAACTATGCGTCAGAGTTTTTCCTGAGAACCTAATGATCTTTCCATTTAGTCAAGGAATTCCTCACCTCTTATGAAAGATTTATTTCCGTGTTCGCAAGAGTTCACTACTGATCATTATCCTGTCTTGGATATTTCTAACCTCGTTTCAAATACACTCAGATTTAATTTTAAATTATAAAATTATGTTTATTATTCAGTTAGTATGAACATGACAGTCTAAGGTATGAATTATCTTCGCTCGCTCGAAAGCTGGGGTCGTGGTTTCGAATCCCACTCAAGACACGGATGTCTGTGTGAGCGTTTATTCTGTGTTTGTGTTGCAAATGTGTAGGTAGCGGCCTTGCGACGGGCTGATCCCCCGTCCAAGGAGCCCTACCGACACTGTAAAAAAGATTACGAAACTGAAGAAGAGACCAGGGCCCAACAGAGGCTTGTAGAGACATTGATGAATGAATGGATTCAGTTATTGCACGAAATTTTGGGATTTCCGCGTACTTTGGCAACTTAGACGCCTGTGCTGATGAAAATTTTATTTTGAATCCATCACAATTTTTTCACAAATGACAATATCGGATGAAAAATCGAGAGTGACATAGACAGTCAAGGCTTGCAGTATCTGTCTCTTTCGTCCCATTAAAGTCCTTTTTCTTCGATCCATTCTTTCATTTGTCTTCTACGAATACTCCTTTTCCGGTAAATTCGTTTAACAATTTTAATTAAGTGATTACTTTATTTATTAATGCCTATGTTAAAATATCCTCACTCATGAATTTATATGTTTAAACAGAAAATGTGACAGGATTGCAAGAAAAGAACAGAATTGATGTCGAGGTCACGGATCCAAACAACGATGAAGACTGTGAAGAAGAAGAAGAATGCGTTGACGATCTTTATTTTTATTTCATAATTGGTGAGTACATTTCCTTGTACATCTACACGCAGTGACTGACCACCCACTTTCTTCTGTAACAGGGGCCGGATTTTATGACCTAAAATATTTTTAAAATGACCGAAAAAATGCAGAAAAGAGCTATAAAAAGGACCGGAAATTTAAGAAATATTATATAAATATATATTATAAAAATGTATCATGTCATGGAAAATCTACTAATTGTTTTAAAATGTACTTTTAATCTTTATTAACACTGCGAACTCAACGTTATTCTTTTAAGTTCGTCCTCGTTTTTATGTTGAAAATTAAGCAATATTGATTGAATTTGAAGCTAAATGTTTAAATACGATTCTTTTCTACGGCGTTCGAACGCTTATCAAATGTACATAAACAGTATGTACGAGTATTCCAACATTTAAGTCTTACCGCATTCAGAGTTGCAATAGATGACAGTCAACATACGGAGATTCTCGAAGGTGAGAGAGCGCCTACTGTCCTACAGCACATTCTTGTGCTTGGAGAAACTCCTTTCCGCATCTGCAGACACAATGGGAGCACACTTGAAGTGCAACAAATCACTAGCAGTAAGTTCCTCTTCAATCCTGAAAGCGCTGAAGGACTCTCCTGTCAGAATTCGAGAAATGCTGCATAATTTTTCATAGCCCGAGTTTTTATCTGGAACAAGTTTCATTTTTCTTGACACCATTTTACCAATGTCCCTTGACACTTTCTCCAAACCATTGGCTATTTCTTTTCATCAGCGAGAGAGAATCTTCTAGCGTTGCTCCTTTCTCCTGCAAGCAATGGATTCCTTCTATATAGGAACTGAAATTTGCCTTTATGAAGGCCCAGCTGTCCTTCCATTTCGATGCAAGAGAACTGTTCCTGAGCAGCTTCAGTTGCCCTCGCATCCTCCGTCTTGATTGAATCTACAGTGTTTTTCACTACCTGAAACTGTTCACAGTAGTACAGTGTAGCATCAATCCACGTTCCCCACCTTGTAATGACGGGTCCCGGGGACAGTGGAACACCAGGAGCCATAGACTTAAAATGCATTTTACGAGCTGGAGCCTTGATGAAAATCTTCTTCGTCCACGACACGAGAGCATCCACTTGAGGAAATCTTGATCTCAATTTTTTACATTTTTTAAATTCGCTTAGTGGGGGCTGGAGTCCAACTGGGTCCACTGATTGGCCTATTGTAGCCTGCCCCGGGTAATTATGATGATGGAGAATTTGGTGGAATGAAGATTGGCAGGGGAAACCGAAGTACTCAAAGAAAATCCGTCCCAGCGCCACTTTGTCCATCACAAATCCCACTTGACCAGACCCGGGATCGAACCCCGGTCGCTGCGGTGGAAATTGAGCTCACTTCCTCTGTCACTCTATGCAGTGCACGAGCTAGGCAATTAACGTGTACCAATTTCGTATAACACGACTTTATTGACAGGCGTGTTTTAAAATATATGGGGCCGCATCGGTCACAGAAAGCAAGACGACGTCGTGACGTATACCCTCTGGCCACAGTAGAAAGAGTGACCTGTCAAAGAGTTTACAAATTGTGTAATGATTAACGGATTCTAGCACCTCTCTCGTAAGCAGAAACACTTCACCTGGTCCATCAATTTCCAAGATTCCACTGATGACATTTGCCACGCAGCGAGCCTCCGTATCGCCGGTCTCATCAATAGAAACGCAAATCTTCTTCCCATGCACTTTATTACTAATCATTTCCAGGATATTGTTGTAGCACCTGGAAAGGTAGTTTTTCCTGATCGTGAATTCATCCAGGATACAGACACCAGAGCAACACACGAATCTGTGAAACAATCCGATGACTTATTTCCACTTTCAGATGAATATTGTTGCAGTAATATTTACACAGATTTCTTTCTGTTCAAAATTTGCACTACCCGTATATGCTTGTCGCGACCGATTTGTTGTTGTTGTACTGTGAATCTTTTTTCTGCCGCTACTTTTGTTTCACACATCTTGCAGTATAAAACGTAACTGTCAGTTGAAAATATAACATCTCCAAATTCAGCTACACTCTGCTTTAACCGACACGAATTAGATGGCTTTGCTTTAGGCATCGTGACAAATGAATCACTCTAGCGCAACACAGAACTGAACTTTCCACACTGAGAACCTTTCGTCAACCGTATCTTTGTCTGTACGGTCAAGGGCGAGAAACGGAAAACAGACGGAGTTTTATTGAGCAACAATATGTCAGAAAAAGCGAGGGATTCCGACTAGAAATATTTTTAACTAAACAAATTTCTTTGCACAGAACTTGGAAAGGGACGCAGCCAGCTGCTGCCAGCTTAAAATATTTTATGATATGTAATGTCAGCACTTGTCGCAAAACGAACGGAAAGGACGGGACAGGATTATAACTTACTGTTGCATACTGTGGTAGCAGGCATTTGGGATGCGGCTGCAGGCTGCCTTTGTACATGCAGGAGAAAGAGAAAGAACACTTTTTTTTTCCTTGGCACTACAGCCCCAGTGGGCCTAGGCCTACCTCCATGAACTTCTCCGTTCACTTCGGTTTTTCTAGATCTTACACATTAGGTAGGACTCCTTGGGCGGGTGATCATCTCGCCTCAAGGCCTCTACCTGTACACAAACATAGAAAAACGCGCACACACAAATTAACATCCATGCCCTGAGTAGGACTGGAACCCACGATCTCGGTTTCCAAGCAAGCGAAGACAGTTCATGCCGAAAGAACACTTTACTTGCATATTATTCATATTCCTGAAAACATGTGAATAAAAATTCCCTAAAATGGCTAAAATGACAAGAAATACCCTTAAAAGTCCAATAATTTATCAATAAATTACCCCCAAACCGAAAAAAATTCCTAAAAACTTAAAAATGACGAAAAATAACAAAAAATGACCTAAAAATTACATTTCTGTAACCAGCAGCTCATCTTCGGGATTTATATATTTAAGGGCATCGAATAGGATACAAGGAAAAAGAGATGACATATCAAAATCCGGGCCCTGCTAATAATGTTTCATATATTTGTACCTTTTATACTCGTAATTTTTTTTTTTTTAATTTTAAAACATCAGGGGGAAATCAGCTGGGAAATTTTTCAATTTTATTTCCCTTTCTTCACATGATTTCATTTGAATAAAGTTTAATTCTAAAATTAACATTTTAATAATAAGTGCACATGTTTTTATAATTATTCAAGAAAAGTTATATTTAATGAAGATTCACACATTGCAATACTAAACGTAAAATATTACGCTGGATATGTGTGCTGTAGTAATCTGTAGTCCGGTGATACAGACTTAACAGATTTGATCAAAGCATCGTTGGCCATCGACTCAATAAACACCCCGTGATACTCGCACGCAACAATAGGACGAATGTTATAGCTCGTTGTTAGGCAGCAGTCAGCGCGACAATGGACTGGCGAGATTGCAATTACGCGACTTGTGTTTCTGTGAGATCCGTGCGGAGCCTATATTACCAGAATCTGTTGTAGCTTAAGTTATTGCAGTGCAGTGCAGTTGAGAGTACAAGGACGAGAATGGAGCATGTTCATAGTGAATTGTGAAGATTAATTGAGTGCAGATTAGGACAGAGGAGTGCAGAGGGATTGAAGACAAGATAGCAAGAATACTTCACAGTGATTTGATGTAACAGTGTCTATATTGAGATCCGTTACCAGGAGACGACTAGCTAAGAAGGAGAATCCTAGTGCGTGTGCAACGGTGAACTGAAAGTGTGTAGAATATCAATAACGTCATAAGTTAGTTGATTAAGAGAATTTGTAACCGAAGTGCCAATAAATCCAATCATCCGAACTGGAACCCGTTATTTTTGTCACGCATGCCCCCAGTACACGTTACAATAGTCTGGGCAGAAAATGGGTTAGATGAATTGAAATGTTTACTGAGGTCTTTTCTTAATTTTGTAATTTTTCCTATATGTTGTGCTCCCTTGTTTCAATTACGAATGTAGTATTCGCGGTACTAATCAAAGGCATAAACAAACCGTACTTCTTCGTCACAAACACATAGCATCACCTAACCTCGAAACTAATATTAACTGTCGTGCGGTATGGATCACTTCCCTAAAGATCTAATGAATAAGTTATTCGAGACATTACTGATTGAACTGCATAAATTTGCACTACTTTATTGTGCTTTGTTACATTTACGTCGTATCGACATACGTTTCAAATGGAATTTACAGATCTTAATGAGATATCGGCTTCGGTTACATAATTACTTTCAATATATTGTAGAGTGCAGTGCCGTTCATATGCTACGATTGCGAAATGGGGCATGCATTTCTTGGTAAAGGTCGGTAAACACGTCAACAATATCCGGGCTATCGCTAAGTAAACAACAATAGAAGAACTGTTGGGGGAGATGTTTTCTCTTTGGTTCTCCCCGGGACTATGCAACGAGGACCCCACGTCAGCTGAACGGAATTGAGTTAGATGAGAGTTTGGAGTTCAGTTGAGTTCTGCAACGGAGGCTGAGAAGAGATGACAATCCAGTTAGCTGCGAGCCGAAAGTCAGTCTGCTAAGAAGGGATTAGGAGGTTGGTGCGAAATTCCCGCCAGCCTGGGAGTTAGTCAGTCAGAGCACCGCGAGAATTCAGTTGCGAGATTGTCGCCTGGTAGGAAGGACCTGAAGGTGAGAAGCTGAAGGATCTTCATTGCTAAAGTCCGTTGGTAGGATACGACTAGTAAAATCTGAGAAGACATCGTGTGCTAGTGTGTAGATTAATGGTAGCGATGTGGCTACTTGTACACGTACTTCCGAGTTGTGTCAATAAATCCAATAATTAGTCAATATCCTGTCTACCGTCACATCCCTAAATTGTAACAATATAATTGTTACTTTTAGCTATGTTATGATGCTCGATTCATCCATGATATGTATACAGTGGCCTTCTTGTAATGCATTCAATTTCACCTGTTACAACATAACAACACTCGCAGCTAAGAAGGGAACACACATCACAAGACACGGTTTACACAGAATATAAGAAAAACGACCCCCATAGTGGAAGAACCACACGCAAGTTTTAATTAAGACACATAAGATGAATGATCTTAACAAGTTTTAGTGTGTGTAAATTTATTATAGTTGACAAATACGCACCTTTTAAATACTTTTATAAAGACATATAAAGGCAAGCATTGCAATAGATTAGCGTACTTAGGGCACCTGATGATGGCACTATGTTGCCGAAACATGTCGTGAAGTAACAAGTGAAACTGAGTGCACTACAAGACGGCCACTGTATACATATCATGGGTGAAAATCAGTGTAAGAGGACGCTAAAATTCAACATTATGCTCGATTCGATTAATGTAAAGAATGGCAGGCAGATGCTCGTAAACTTATGGGATGTAACACCGTGTGGTCTGGTAGAGAATTACTGAAACTCGAAGGAGCTGGCTGCCGTCAGATTCATGGTTGGAAAGCGCCGACAAAATAGTACTGAGAGATGAAGATAGAAGGATTGTTCCGTGGCTCACATTCAACTACTAGGGTTGAAGAACACCGTATATAGAATAATTGTTCTTGGAAAACACCCCTTTAAACGGACATAACTACTAACACTGTTCTAGGTACTCTTAATGGTTCGTATAAGGCCCCAGTCGTGTTCCTCCCTCTGCCTACATCAGGACTGGTTTCATGCGTACCATGATGTAAACTTATATCCTGAAGTTGGAGGTGGTAGGCTCCTCCGAAACGTTGATACCTACTAGACTACATGTCACTACCTTTCAAAAGAGAGAAATCGCCATTTTCACTGTTATGAGAACCTAAAAACTCACAACTTTATTGTTGAAATTCGTGAAGAATTCAACACGTAAATCTCTTTAAGTTATTTGGAGATTAAACATATGGACAGACGAATATGACGTCCCACAACGTTCACATGCATAGAGAAAGGGAAGCAATATAACAAAAACTTCTCAGAAGGTCCACATGCACCTCGACAAATACTACGTAAGTTGTTCTTCCAATATATTGACACGCGTATGGGTGACTTTTAAGACGAGTTTTGGATTGGATGTTTGGATTTATTGACACCTTATTCGCACAACTTGGAACTACAGAGAATGAAGCGCTAACGCTATTCTACACACTTTCCAGTTTACAGTTGCACATGCACTAGCTTCTCAGCCTTCACTAGTCGTATCCCAGCAACGGATTTATCACAGTCTCACTGTCACTTCAAATCACACGCGACGTCTTCTTTGCACAGTCCAGTTCCTTTCTGTTATTTCTGCAGCTGCCAATTCTGGAAACGCCACTCAGTTCAATTCCTCTATTGTTCTATACTCCGGCCGTACTGGTCCGTCTTCTGACTGTGGCCTCTTCGGCACGGACTCCACGGAAACCACCATCTTTTATTGTTTACTGGTCCGTTATACGAGCAATGAAAGGCCTATTTTTCCGCACGTTTACTTCTGTGGGAATATGTTTAGCGGGTCGTTGCCCAGCAATTAGTATGCACGTCACAATATCATACTCGTACATCATGAGCGAGTTATCCAGTTATGCAGAAATTAATATCTTGCATTATATCTAACTTATTATGCCACAAGAATCAGTAACAGTTCACTAAGGCTTAAACAGAGTGCTGACAGCTTGAATCCATTCATATTCACAAACAATTTTATTCAGCCTCCTTGCCCAAAGGACTTGGTGTCAGAGATATAAGTTGTTACGCACTTAATTGATTAGCTTATTCGGCTTCAGGTAACGTTTATGTTTGTAAATAAGTTGGGTTTGAGTGCTAGAGTTCGGGTAACTTCATGAAGCAGATAACCGGCCGATAAATTAGCGAGTGAATGGATAATTAAAGCCGATCACAGTGTCCGTGTAGTCTAAGACGTGAATTTTTTCGCTTGTTCTAACGCTGGGATCGTGAGTTCGACTCCCAATTACGACATGAATATGTGTGTGTGTTGTCCTGTGTGTACGCAGCGCTTTGGTACAGGCTGATAACTCGTCCAAGGAGTCCTACCGACAGCGCAGAAATGATTACGAAACTGAAGAAGAAGCCAGGACCCAACATAGGGCTGTAGAACCGTTGATGAATGAAATGGATAATAAAATGTGGTAGATGCTCGGGTCTGATGGAACAAAGATGCCTCAGTCCACGGTCGGTTAACGGGATCGCCAGATCCTCGTGCCGACTGAACACTGTCGTTACAAGAAAGGCGTGGTTTACTGATCTACCACCACGAACAATTACAATTTACATTATTCGGTGAACTTTAATTATGCTGCGTTATTTAAGTAGCTTTCAAGTAAGACGCAATGCACATGAATTACAACAAATTTGACTTATTTACAGAGTTTCGTTATTTTCTATGCCGCATAATTAATTTGGTTCTAGACGAATGAACTATGAATTTGCTGCAAATGGCCTTTCTCGAAGACATGTAGTTATGGGGTTCTTAAAGTATATTATGACGTGTATTAGTGACTATATACGGAGTTTCGGATTGGATGATTGGATATATTGCACCTTATATATTCACAGATTTCGGGACTACAGGCAATACAGCGCTATCTCTATTCTACACACTTTCCAGTTCACCGTTACACACGAATTAGGGTTCTTAGTCTTCAGTAGTCGTATCCTGGCAACGGATGGCCACATAGTCGTTATACGAGTCTTACAATAACTGCAGCACATATGAAGTCTTCCTCGCATAGTCTAATTCCTCTCTTGCCATTTCTATTCAATAAGCTATGACTGCCATCTCCACAACTCGACCCAATTCTAATTCCAGCTGCGTAAGATCCTCGTTATATAGCCTCGAGGCGGACAGACAGAAAACACCGCTTCCTCTATTGCAGCAAAGGTGTGTTTACAGCCCGTTGCATAGCGACGGAAGTTATCAGATTGTTGTCTGCTTATCCGTTGCCGCAGGAATGCATTTACCAAATCTTTGCCTAGACACGATATGTTACTTTATATCCAGAATTCCGAGGAGCGCGTCCCAAACACGTCTGATACTAAGTAAAAACAGCGACTTCTCACAAGTCATTTGCCTATGCTGGCGTTGTGTCTTCCCCTTGAATAAATTTAATTCGTAACAGAAGCACTACGAGAAATACTGGCATGCACCTGATCATTTTAAACTGAACTATTACGTCAGTTGAGTTTCCAATTTAATGAATTTAAGGCGTTTCATTTCAGTAGCGTTAGTCATCAGGTTTTCGTTATAATTTGTTTCAGCTGGAAATGACGATAATTATTTCAGTCTGGAGAGTACCACTGGAGTTCTCTCACTGAATAAGCAGCTGGACCGAGAAGCTGTGGAGGTCTACACACTCACTGTTGTTGTCACTAACTTCCCGGATGGACCGCAGGGTCAGCTGCAACAAAAAAGCCAACTAAAGGTCACCGTACATGTAAGTATGTAATTAAATTCATTTATATAGTAAATTCTTTTGTATTTGATAGTGTATGTATGAGGGATAGGCCTTCTCGGCCCTTGCACCGCGACCTACAGTGGTCTATTGTGCTTCTGATGGTGTATACTCAGATGTTTAGTATAACACCAACTTCGTCCTAATTATTTCCAAGTAAAATACTGTATATTTTGAGGTTATGTTTGTGTAAGTGCATGCGATTGCGAGGATGATGATGATGTTGACTTACGAAGGATCCGAAAGTCGTTGTGTCCTCGTTTAAGGATATTAAAACTTTCAGCCTCTGGGTAGAAAATTTGACACAGGAAGTCTAAATAATGAAGTAGGATTGCTGACCACGCATTCACAGTTTTCGATTTTGAAGTTGTGGGAAAGAACATGTTGCTAAAGGGTGGAAGGCGTAACGTAACACAAAAAATTACATCTTGAGAATAGGCCCTTTATTTACTTGTATGTTTGGTTATTGAAAGTAGGTAATTTTTAAAGCCAAAATTTTATCAGAACTTATTTCTCCAGGACACTGAAACTTATCTTGACACTTCGAAATGAAAATCATGACGCCAGACAAGAAATGTACGCACTTTCACATATATATAATTTAGAAGTCTTTCCACTTGTTAATTACTTACTTACTTATGGAGCTGAACCCTTCTTGAGGAGCCGCCAATTCTGTAGCTACTCAAGAATTTCCCAGCATTTTATGGAACCCGAAGGTTCATCACCGTGTTCACAAGAACCCTCCACTGGTCCCTATCCTGAGCCAGATATATCCAATCCATACCATCCCATCCTATCTCTCTAAGATCCATTCTAATATTGTCCACCCACCTACGCCTTGGTATTCCCTGTGGTCTCTTTCTTTCTGGCTTTCTCACCAATATCATATACGCATTCCTTGTCTCCCACATTCCTGCTACATGACCTGCCCACCTCATCCTCCTTGACTTGATCACTCTAATTATCCTTGGAGAAGATTACAATTTATGAAGCTCCTCATTATGCAGTTTTCTCCAACCTCCTGTCACTTCATCTCTCTTTGGTCCAAATATTCTTCTCAACACCCTGTTCTCAAACACCCTCAGTCTATGTTCCTCCCTTAATATCAGAGACCAAGTTTCACACCCATACAGAACGTCTTTCCACTTGTTACTTATAAATATTTCTGTACGGGTAAGAGAAAACTAGGCGAGTTATGTAATTATATTTGACTCCTTGCTGAGGCACACAGGAACTCGATCAGTACCAAACATCACACGATGAAGGGGTAGACGAGGTGGGCGGCTGAGAAATTCCACAATTCCAGACACCGAAACTAGACAATTCACTCTCTGGCCTCCTTCCCTTAAAGAGGCCCATACACGTACGAGTCTGGCTCGCGAGTCCGACTCGGCTCAGGTTCCAATGAGCCAAATTCGTCCGTATGTGGGTCGCAATGTTGGGAGTCAGTTCTTGCGTGTGTCGTGAAATTAACCCGAGCCCGGCTCCCGAATCAAGCTCGCCGAGCCAGACTAGTACGTGTATGGGCGCTTTCGGGGAAAGAACCCATACGCGAAGCGTAGGAGACTGGCTGTCTTTAGAACTGACTTGGGTTTGGGGGAGGGGGTTACAAAATTATGTGTGCCCACGCCGTGAACAGGACATGGTCCATGCATCCCTTTGCCTGTCAATTTATTAAGATACATGGACTCTTTTATTTTTTGATTCGTAGGGCAGATAGTAAATGTATTGTCACGTGTTTTAGTGACTTGTAGATGGGGTTTGGATTGATGAATAATTTTATTGGTTACTCCCAAGTCGTAACGACAAATAATTATAACATTCTAAGGATTACTATAATTATAACACGTTGTAACTGCAAATAACTACACCACTCTAAAGATTATTAAGGAACATTCTGAAGCCCTTAGAAGTGGTGAGTGGAAATACAGTTTTAGAGGACATCGGGAGAATAGAATAGCTGGAGAAATTAGTAGAACACAACAAACTAGACCCGTACCGGCATCCAGAAGAGAGTAAGCCAAAAACATACAAAAGAGAACTTGAAAATAAAAGCAAAGGTAATACCCACCAAAGAAGGCTGGCTGGAAGAGGACAAAGATTTGGGAGGAAATCGAAGAGGAAGACGGGATCGACTTAGAAAGAGGGGGGGGGCATGTCCTCGTCCAGAGGAAGGGGATCCCAGAGGACAAGAATAAGAAAATCACTTGCGAAACAATCTCGGGCCCGAAACGAAAGCCAACATTCGGCTTACAAACACGGCGAATGTGACATAGGACCCTTCAAAGTGCTCATTCATCCAGACACCTCAGTCATTGCAGCTGGTCTCCGGGCCGAGACTCGAACCCGAGAACACCAAAATAGGAAGCAGGACTCTTACTTGCTACCTCTCTGACTTCATCAGTATGACACAATTAAGTGATTTGTATATAACCAGAATTGTTTTATTGTATAATATTCTTATTGCTAAGTTTCTGTGAAAGTATCATTCGCCCCTGAACCAAATCGATAGCTCTGCTATTGATAAGCAACTGTGATGTATGTGTCCAAGAAATAAAGGCCACTGTATCAAATTTGAAAGTGCGAATGGCTTGAAATTTTATATCCGTCAGGAAAGTATTTTGCTAGAGAAATAAACCGCCATATACCGCCATGTTATGAAGGACCAGACTTAGATAGTTAGGCGCCACAGACTATGTTCTAACGACTGTTTCTTTAAATTCCCTTTTCCAGGTCACTGATGTAATTGACACGCAACCAGCCTTCACGAAGCCATTCTATGCAGCTGGCATTAATACTGGAGATAAAGTGAACGATATTGTTACAATTTTCAGTGTGAGTATCAAATTTCCATTGAAGTTTCCATCCGTAAAGTCACAAAGAAACTGTAAGCCATGTCGGTATCACAAGTGCGTTATATTTTGAAGCCATCTGTAGACACGTCTGTAAATGTTCATCAGCCTACCAACTATCTTCACGGTGGTCATGAGGTAATCCCAGTCATAGTCTGGATATGCATTATGATTAAATCTGAAGGCTACAATATTTGCAGTTTCAAAATGGTCAATGGGAGACGTCCTCCAGTCATTTCATTGAAGTTTTAAGACCAAAATTTCATTCAACGACATACTTTTTAGTTTATCGTTCCATCTATTAGATATTTCCGGAAGTCCATCATAAATATATACTTCTGCGCTTTCTCTTTTCCTCTGATTCGAAATAAATATCCAGGACGGTATAATACCTTATCTTCCTTTCATGTGCTAAAGTTGTATAGAGTTTACTAATGAAACTTGCGCTTGAAAGGTTGTGGAATCATTTACCTAACTAATACAATATCGCGGCAAAGCTGCAGGGGCTGGAGAAGCCCAGGGAAACCCCCTGGTCTCCTGGACAATATTTGAAGCCGACACCTGCGGAATACGAGACAGAATTCGATCATGATCATCTCTTGTAACATATCCATACCAATGTCACATCAATAATACGTGATTTATGTGTAATAAAAATTATCTCACTTCTTAATATTCTCCTTATGAAATATATATGGAAAGTGTTGAGGTTTCAAATATTTGTGTTAGTATTAGTTTCTAATTGCTTTAAATTTATGCTATTCCTTTAGATTAAGAGCCTTGCCTCCATCTATGAGCTGATTGTCTAGAAAATGTGGAACTTCAACATCTCACAACCCTATGGGACTCCACAGGGATAGCTTTACTTTACTTTTACTTTTTTATTTCAGATTAAGAAGCCACTTTCGGAAATCATACCAAAAAATTAGTAAAGTAATTCTGTTGTATATTTTTACCTCTTTGCTAAATATTTATAAATTATATGAGATAATAGTAATTGCAGAAGTGAGGTTGGCCTTCCACAACAAAATTATACATGCATTCAAATTTGAACTAACTGTGTAGTTCTGTCATTTTGTACTGGGGAACTGGGATGTGCTTTAAAGGACTGAGCTTATTGTGACAGATGTAAGGCAAATAGCTTGAAATTTCCTATCCGCTTCTGGAACTTATTAGGAAGAAACTATACCACCATGTATCGTATGTTAGAATGGACCAGACTTGGAAAGTCAGTCTGCGTATATGGTGCATTTGGNTTTAACAGGAAAGGGTTTATCTCCCCAAAACAAATTTGAACCATACTGGTAGACTTCATTTCTTATAATATTATATTTCAGCATCCTGTTACACTCACACAATATATATGGATAAATACCGTCTTAAGTGCAACAAATTTTATTGTAGTTTTTACTTCTTTTCCTCCACCACACTACATGTTTCGGCCCTAAATGGCCATCATCAGGTGTGTATCACTCACGTAGCTGTTACACTGCTTGTTAAAATTTAAAATTACCAGTCTTTCTAATTGTATAAAATCTTTGTTAATCTACACGCGTCGATTTGATTTTTAAATTAACAAAATTAAATTAACAAAGATTTTATACAATTAGAAAGACTGGTAATTTTAAATTTTAACAAGCAGTGTAACAGCTACGTGAGTGATACACACCTGATGATGGCCATTTAGGGCCGAAACATGTAGTGTGGTGGAGGAAAAGAAGTAAAAACTACAATAAAATTTGTTGCACTTAAGACGGTATTTATCCATATATATTGTGTGAGTGTAACAGGATGCTGAAATATAATATTATAAGAAATGAAGTCTACCAGTATGGTTCAAATTTGTTTTGGGGAGATAAACCCTTTCCTGTTAAAGTTTATGTCAACTCACCTGATAACTTGACTAATCTGAGAGATTAGATTTCTCGCAGTGATATGTCCTTGCTATCTTCTTGTAGTCTGGTAGGCAGACATTTCGGAATTACCTACTGTCTCCATATTATCAACATGAAGGTGGACGCAGAAAATTCCTCAGAAACAATAATAATTTTCTGCCAGACTATACGGCATCACCCAAAAGACAATAATATGACCAGATTTCTGTATAATTTCCTCAATATTTCAAAGGTTAATGAGTAAATATAATCTTAAATTGAGGCCACGATCACTTCTAACCCAATTATCCCAAGTTCAGATCCGTCCCACCCTCCACTCTGCCATTTAGTATATGTCATAATAACATATGCGTCCACAAAACACAAAATAACTGAATGGAGCCCAGTCCAATCAAATTTGTTTCTAACCCGACCCATTCTAAACATAAACCAGTCCAGGAAAATCGCGTACAAACTAATACCAACGGCTTTAAGCCATCTAACTATGACGTCATCGTCCTCAATGGAACTACACGCACAAAATAACCGAATTATGTTCACCCCCGCGCCCACCCCAGGCCCGAACGAGACCAAAAGAACCCGATCCGATGCAACGAATGAAACCTAAACCTAACCACACCCAAACTGGACCCATATCTACAATAAACTGAATCCGGTTCGGTTCGGCTAGACCTAAAACAACCAAATCCGACTTAGTCGACTCTGATCCCTGCCAACTTCAATTCGACCTAAATCAGCTAAACTGGATTCGAGCGGATTTGACCCGATTCGATCCGACCAGTCATCTTTGTTGAGTAAGGAGTTATCCCATACCTGAGCTTTATCATACAGCTTGAAATTTACTGGAACTAGGATAAAGCTAACTGGAATTGCAGATACAGTTTACGAAATAGTAACTTTTAGAACTTTGGTAGGTTACAGCTGATAAGTAGAGTGCTAATTTACTTCTCTTTGCAGGTAACTGATGATGATTTAGATGATAGCCATACATACACTATCGTTGAGAGTACGATGGATGTCACCGACAGCTCGCTTGATTACCTGAAAGATAAAACTCCTTTCAGTATAAAGGGAGACACGTTGGTACTGAATTTTGATGTTCAAGACAGTTCTCTGAAAGGCCTCTTCAAGTTCAACGTTGAAGTTTCAGACAAAGGTTTGTGCCAATACAGTGTATATACACGTATAAAATCTATCATCATAAGAGAAAAAGAAAGGCAGAACTATAATTGTTAATAGGCCTTAAAGGCCCATAAGTTTGCACGACGTCGAGGCTGCCACATCTTCTAGACAATCAGCTCACAGATGGCGGTAAGATTGTCAGCCTTATGCGCCCGCCGCCTCTTACCTGCAGGAAGAGTCCTGGTACTCATTTTTGTCAGAGTCTGAGTCGACCCCAGGGCAATAGTGCGGCCGGAAGGATTAGGTAAATTGAAAAAATCCTATGATCTCGTAGGGATTCGAACTTGCGAGTCCTGGTCCCTTCTCCGCATCGTCTAAACAGACTATGGTGTCCATTCAGCATCCTATCCAAAGAGTGTCAGGTTCTTTTCCCTGGGGGTAAATCGGCCGGGGCCTGAAGCTGACTACTCACCTCCAACTAGTGCCACGGTCAAGAAAACCTGGATTTATACATCCACTCCGCCATACGTCTCCATGGCCTAGTGTTTAACTAGTTAAGTACGGGAAAAAATTTATCTATTATTCTCTTAGAATTCACAATACTTCTGTCATTCTAACCATGTGATGTGATGCTCCACAATCTCTATTTCTCTTATGCTCCAGCTATGTGGTAAGGTTATCAGAATTTGTGCCTCTTCTCTTCTCTTGGTACTAGTTTCAAAGTTACCTTCGGCTGTGCTATGACTTCTGAATTAGCACTTAAAGGTGCTGCTTTTATAAGATGTAATTCTGCATTTGGCATAAATTTTAGCATTGCGTTTCAGAGTACTAACTAAATTTATCTTCCATGATTGAATGAGTCGTGCATTTTTCCAGACATGTTAATGTCTCTCTTCATTGAAATCATCACTATTACTTAGAAGTCACTGTGCAACAGTGTTGCGGGAGATAACAAGACAATCTCCGGCCGAATTTTCCTGGTCTCAAGTGATTAAATAGCTGTGTACATCTGACAGGGGTTGTCCAGTGATTGAGATTAGCTCTTTTTGAGGAGACCAACTGAGTAGGTGTTTTCCCATCCCTCGCCTGAGGACGGAAACAGACCCAGTTTCCGAAACGTAGTGTTTTCTACTTCCTGGAAAACCGCACAATGGAAAAGCCCCCAAATCCAGTAATTTTGTGTGTTATACACTATCATCAGAATCCATTAGAGTCTAAATGATAAGCCTGAATAGAAAATCACATTCCCATGATAAGTTTAACATATCTCCTTGGATACAGAATAAATTAGTATATTTTGTGAAATATAAGATATAGAACTTCGACCAGTATTCTTTACAGATGTTACTTAACGGAATTAATTACGTAGATTATAGCTGCCCATAATGTTTGCAGTTTTCTCCAAGAAATTTTATGAGTGTCACTGTTTTTACAGAAAATTACAAAGGCGAAGCTTCATGCGAAATATATATTATATCGCAAGACAACCACTACGTTACAATGCGATTCCAGAACAACGCGACCTACACTGAATCCGTGAGATTGAAGGTGAGATAAACTGATCTTATAACATTTCTTTTGTCTCGTTTAATTTATGAAAATTTTTGCTCCTGAGGTATTAACTTAAAACTACGAATAATATTTTAATTATTATGAAAACGAATATTACTCTCGGAATTAATTTTTTTCTTGTTATTGCGAGGTAACTAATGTAAAAATGATAATTTCCTTCCTAGATAGCCAACATATTCACAGATGTCTTCAAGAATGAAGCAAATGTCAAGAAGATAGCCCCAACAGTGGACTCAGAAGGTCTTCCAATTAGTGATAAAACGGATGTAACATCATATTTCGTAGATGAAGAAATTCAACAACCGATTAACAAGAACGAAATAATAAGGCTAGTAAAAAATTTTGTATTATAATTAACTGTCTATTGTCGTGGTACGCGGGTTCAAACCCGGCGGAGGTCGTGGAATTTTTAAGGGCGGAAAAATTCAGGGAACAAGTCCTCCGGGAGGGACTTTAAGCCGTGTGTCCCGTGTCGTAGCTTTACGGCACGTAAAAGAACCTCATATCTCCAAAGGAGGTCACTGAGCCAAATTCAAGGACATTTTACCGCCCAACATTAGTCTCTCACGCAGCTGATAGATGGGGGAAGCATTATAGATACCGCCAAGCCAGTAGAGGCCGAACTCGCTGGTTCGGTCGAGACTGATGGTACGCAACAATATCGGTAGGATATAAAGCCTGCTAGAATATCGTAGAGGGAAGCACAATGGACCAATACTGGTCTAAGTGCATGAGGTAACCCACCCTCTCCAATAACTAACTCCCTAACTAACTAACTAACTAACTAACTGTCTATTGTTCAGTCTACGGATGGCTCATGGGAGGCAATGCGAATATGTGTAACTTGATGTGACGTGTCGATAGTACTTTGAAATAGTCATGAGCGCCTATTGATTAAGTAAGCAGAGATAACAATTGATATTGTCACATGACGCCTGAAAGACGGAATAGTTCATTACTAGGCAACGGCTAGGTAAACACATTCACGCTGAAGCGAAAGAGCACAACAGTGAAAGAGCCGTGATTTCTATGGTCAGCTAGGCGCTCTTGGTTACGCAACGGTGCGGTAAACACGTCTCTACAACAGTGAATCGACACCTAACAATCGAGAAAGCGGTGTTTTCTGTGGGGGCCGCCCGAGGCCATATAACAAGGATCTTACGCAGCTAGAATGACTCCCGTGTGGAGGCGGGGTTGAATACCTCCACCGTGACCCTGCGAGTCGTAGGAGGCGACGAAAAGGGATATCGTAAATCTGAGACAGTAAAATACGATCGTGAGTCCAAAGGGACTCGGACCCGAGGAAAACTGCGCTGGCAAGGGTCAGTAGCATGTAAAAAAGACAGACGCGTCCTCTCGTCAGAGATGGTGCTCCACAAAAAAACAAAACCGTAACGTTCAACAGTAATAAATATCTGGTCATGAATCCCAGACAGGCTCGACACCAAGATTTACTGACTGACTGACTGACTGACTGATCGTCAGTCGCAGTGTGACTTGGACTTGGACTTGGCTAGAATGAGAATTGGAGTTCCGGAATTGGCAGTTGCAGCAGTCTCTGGAGTTGGCAGCTGGTAGAATAATTGAGAAGAAATGGCATGAAGGGAATTAGGCTGTTGCGGTGACAGTGAAACTTAAAAATCCGTTGCCAGGATACGACTATTGAAGATTGAGGAGACAGCGTGTCCTAATGATTTGTAAGATGTGTAGGTCAGCGCTAACTCTGTGCTTGTTGTAGTTACGAGTGTATAAATTGTCAATAAATCCATTCATCCAATCCATACCCGTCTATAAATCACGCACACCCCTTACACGTGACAATATCACAAACGGACCCATGTGATCAGTTTACGGAGAAGAATCAGCAAATAGGACACAAATGGAAGTAAAACACCTGTAATGGACATAATAATTATATTTTGTTTTCCCTTGTACTTACTGAATTTGCTCTACGATTTCACTACATAAAACTGACAAGTAATTAAAGTGCGGGTTTCGGGGAGAAATTCTAGGGCGGGGAGTCCACGAAATTCTGGCGTGGATTCTGTGTAAGAAGGACAAGTGGCTAAGGTGTAGAGGTAAATACAATGGAGGAAGGAGAAATCAATGATGTCGTTGGGGAAGAAGTGGTGATGGTAGACATGGACTATGCACGAGTACAGAATAAAGTTATCAAACAAAAGAAGAGTTTTGCGAGAGACACAGGACATGAATTATCATCAGATGAGGAATTGAGGACAAACCATAAAAAAGGAGATCTACAAACGACGGCGTAAAGAGGAGTAGTAATAAAAAGAACAAAATATGAACGAGTCACAAAATCATAAACAAGCCGAGGAGAGAACAGAACAAGGGTTAATTCAACAGGCAGAGTCTGAAATGCAAAACCACGGAGATGAAGTTACGAATGAGTCCGACGACCGATGTAATCAGACCGGCCAGAAAGGAAAGGAAGGCCTTGGAGAAGGTTTCAAGAGTAAGAAAGAAGGATAAAATAATGACCTACGTTTTAAATCTACGAAAATGGGGCATTCAACACCCATCTTAAAGTCAAGAAGCCCGATACCTAATTACTGGAAAGAAAACAGGGAAAAAATGTCATGGCTAAATCCAAGATCAGTTTCAAATCCACTGGATAATATTCTCGGTTTGTTTAGGAACTGACCTCAGAGAAAATGGAAGCAAATAAAATTTTGGACAGCCTTATCATCCAAAATGAAGGGCTGACTACGTACATTCCGAGATATATGGCTGTGAAAAGGGGAGTCTTTAACGATGTACCAAGGATATTAATTAGAAAGTTTGACGCAACAAGTCAACTCAGATAATCATAACAAACACCCTATACTTTTCCTGGTCGTTGACGCAGTCAGACTTAAGGTGAGAGTCAAAGATGAACGAAGTAACCGAGTGAGAAAGATGGGTGTGGAAAGAGTAGAGGGTATTATGTTGAGATATTTAGAACTGCCATTCATGCATATCTTTGCAATATGGAAATTGAAGCTTCTAGTTTTGTTACAGCAGTACGACAATGTTACAACTGTGAGAAATTTGGCCACATAAGTAATATTTTTACGAAGGAACAACAATGCTTCTCATGTGGAGAAGAAAAACATGAAGTTCTTGTATTAAAATGCCTTAATTTTAATAGTAATCATAGAGCAAACAGCGAGCGATCTCCAGTAATAAAAAAGAAACAGAACTAATGCAACCAAACCACTGCTCATAGAAATGCTGCATTTTTGGAAGCACGGAAAATTGTTGAAAAATGGTCACAACCCTGGCGGTGGAAGCCTGCATTCTCTTCAGGTGCTAAAATCTTCGGGGGATACGTTGAACCTAATATGAGGAGCTTCCCTCCTCTTGAAATGCCAGGAAAGTGAAGGAGTGGGATAGCATAGAAACAAGTGAAAGCAATAAAGCCCCGAGCCAGCCGATCGGGTGGAACTCTGGACGAAGGCGGAGGAAGATGACCAAGGGTAACAGCAGCACTGAAATATCTTAACCAAGTCCAAGAAATATAGAGAAAAGGAACAGTTCGGAAGACCGGACAGTGTTAGAGAAACCTGTACACGAGTTGTGGTCCATTCAGATGGGGGACGACTTCAAGAGCCTATTGGTGACGATAATGAACTTAGTGATAAACCCCGGGACGCTAAGGCGATGGTAAGACATCTGTGGAAAGCCGTTGAGCTTCACGGCCAAAATTACAACAAAATTCAACGGGAATCAACCAATTAAGGTTGTTCAATGGAGCTGTAGAAGCCCAAATAGCCAGGACAGAATAAGATGTTTGTAAGAATATGCTACAGAGAGTCGGATGAACACTGCCTATGCCATTTTTGTTTACACATTTATTTTTTTCAAAATAAAAAGTCTAAATATTAGACTCTCATGCGCATGCGCATGTTCAAAGCCTGGTCTCAGTAGTCAAAATGGTGACCGTACTTGAGAGTGGTGTATTGCCGAAGAGTAGCGTTCTGTTGTGCTCCTTTTGTCGGCTAAATGACTCATTTCAAAAGATATCCATAAAGAAAAATTTGCTGTTTATTGTGGGAAGTGTTTTTCGTGTAAAGCTTTCACATCTGGGTGGCAAACATTCGCTGATGGAAGATATGCTGAGAAATGAAAGTTTCCCCCCCCCATATTTGAATATCACGTGTTTTACGGTTTATATCCATTTGTGACCTATTTACTGACTCTCCCTCGTGCTAATATATGGCACTAAACTCAGATTGTGGAATGGCTATCTTGGGAAATATGCATCAGTTGTACAAATTATCTGTACTGCTCAAGCAGCGCGGTCACGTCTTCACGTGACTGAGTGTCCTTATGCAAAGAGAATATCAGCAATGAATTTATGTTTGGTATTATTTGTAATGTTCTGGACCTAATCCAGAAATTTGCAAGACAGCCACCGGCACTTAATATTCAAGGGGTTCTGTCAAATTAGTTCGTTGCCACTAATATTTAACATGAAATTGATTTAAAAGTATAGTCGACAGGTTTTTTACATATATATTTATTAGCAATTAGAATTAAATACATTCTTTAAGCTAATTTGCTAATTTAAACACCGCTCTCCTGTTATTATTGTACCGTGATGAGGGTTCCTTCAATGAGAGATCCTCTTCAACCATCAAGTAGATCTGCTGGCCATAATTTCGTTAACCTTCTTCGTTGTTGTTGTTGTTCCAGTAGGGGCTGCAGTAATGTATTATTATGGTGTCCTAGTTTATCATGATGTTTTATGCTTTTCTCTTGGATGACTTCTTTGATGAATGGTACATTGAGATCGTCATGTAGGGTCTTATTAGTCACATACCAAGGTGCATTTGTGATCATCCGCAGTATGTCGACAGGTTGCATCCAAATTGGAGCGCACATTTTTTTCTGGCTTGTTCCTTAAAATTCATGCGCTCTATTGCTATTGATTTTTCTTACTGAAACATATAAGGAAAATTAAAATATAATTTTAAGAGCATAAAAATTCATTAAGAACAATAATATAAGCGACTGAAAATGTATACAGGATTTCTCTCTGAAATAAGCTGAAACTCATTCCTTTGATAATGTTACTTATTTAAGACTTTACTGGTATATTTCCAAGTAATTATTAGATCGTAAATTTAAATGTTAACGAATTATTTCTTGGATTATCAGTTATCGACTGAATCAGTTTTATTTCACATATCAAAAATTGTTTGTTTCTTTTTCCTCAAACAATAAAATAAATAAATGAATTCCAGCGGTTCTTTCGATTAGGTTTCAGGAAGAAATATATTGTGACGTATTGGCTCAAAGCAAGAACTCTGGAGCCATATAAACAGACGTTGTTTGGTAATGCCCATACATAACAATACAGCAATTATCACGAAACGAGATGTGACACGGCCGTTACAGTGAAGCGATTTTGTAAGCAAGTACGCGGTGACTTCACGCATCAGTAGAAGGGGTACTGCAAGTAGTGTTTTCTGTGGTTCCGCTCCGAGGCTATATGACTCGACCTACCGAGTTCAGTTCAGTGAGTGAGTGCAATCCTATTGAGGGCTCAGCTGTGGAGTGTTAACCAGCGGACAACGGAAACTGAAGAATCTCCACTGCTGAGATTCGGTACTAGAAAACGTCTACTGAAGACACTGTAGAGGAATTACCATTGCGTAGAGCTGTTACCAAATAAAGTCTAGTGAAAGTAGACAGGGAAGACTTGAGTGTGGAGTGATTTGTAGTGTGGAAAATAGAAATAGTGCTATAGTTATGTGTAGTTATGACCTGTATGTGGTCAATAAAGCTGTTGACTAGTCCAAACCCCGTCTATAGTTGCTAATGCACTTGAGAGTATTAATACAACGAAAGGCTGGAATTATTCTTCATTGTTATTATGTTAAGTATTCTCCATATATAAAACCTTTAGAATGTAAAGCGGTAGGTATTAATAAACTCCATGTTTTGTGTTATTCATAAATCTGATTATTACAAGAAATTATGTTAGTCATAAGATTTACAGCACAAAAATTTCACATGAATATTTACCTCAACCAGTTGTTTTTTTAATTTGAGATGAAATAACCAGACAAAATAAACTGGGATATGATTTCTGTTATGCCTTAATTTTATGTTTTGGCTCACGAAGATGCGAACAAAATATTTGTTACTATAATGTGTTGAAATTATTTCCATAAATCTACAACTCGGTTAAATAAAAGCTTTGATTGAAGGGTAGATGCTTCCAAAGAGCCAGCTGAAGCGACGCCCCCCACAGAGAATACAAAAATGTCAGTAATTTATTCTCTTATTTAGGAAACTTACGGACAAACAAACATATATCGCTCTGCGGGACGCCCTGATGGACGAGAAGCTGGTGTTGGAATCGATCGACGACCCAGTGACTGAAACCGTTGCTAATATGGAAGGTGTCCTGCAGACGGTTCTAATTGTAGTGTCAGTGGTTCTGGGGTCGCTAGTTGTCATTCTGTTTGCAGCGTTCTTTATCAGAACCAGAAGGTAAGTCTTAAAATCCACTAGAAGTGTTCTAGCATCCCGTTGCAGTGGGTATTAGAAATTATTTTGGGGTTCAATTACTGTCCACCACGTAGAAATATTAAGTAATTAACTCCAAGGAACTGAGCACTACTTGCGAAGGCGATAGTTCTTAAGCTACTAAAGAAATACCAGAGAGTTTATGGTAGCCGAGAGTTCAATACCGTGTTCATATGAGCCCTCCACTGGTCTTAACCCTGAGCGAAATCAATCCAGTCCATGCCACCCCATCCCAGTTTCTTTGATCCAATTTAATATTATACACCCACTTAGTCGTTGTCTTACTAGTGGTCTCTTTTCTTCTGGCTTTCACCAAAATCCTATATGCATTCGTCTTCTTCTTCATTCCTGCTACATACCCTGTCCGTCTCATCCTCCTTGACTCGATAATTATATTTGATGAAGAGTGCAAGCTGTCGCTTTCCAACATGTACATGTGCTTGTATGCAAGGAGTGTCGAAAAGCCAAGTTCTGTTTCTGTTTATTTTTAGCAAAAAGACTTGAACCCGTAACTTTTATTTCAAATTTTAAGTATGATCTGTCTTACTAAAAGGGCATATTTTCTTTAAAAATAATATTTAATTCAGGACACTTTACGAATACGCAATGTTGCTACACGCTGACAAAGTTATGCAGATCTGTAATTCATTGTGAATGCATTTGTACTTAGTTTGGAAGAGTTCACGGCTTCTGTGTTCGGTTAACATCACTTTAACTTAGACGTTTCTAGTTGACGAGGGAGGGAGTGTGGAAGGGCAAGAAGAATATACAGTCACCTGCTCCAACTATCCAACTCCCTATCTTGTCTAATGGCCCTTTGAAATCTCTTCGACGGAAGAAAAAACACATGCAACTTTAAACACAATTTCAGTGGAACTCAGTACGTATGTGTTCAACAAAATAAAAATCACATACAGATGGGGCCCATAATGCATGCAGTGAGCCCCTGTGTAAATATGGATACTTGGTGTCGTTTTGTTGCGGTTAAACAGTCAGCAAGGGGCGTGGAGAGGACCAATACAGACCACAAAAATAATGAAACTCAAAACCAAGTACGTGAAGTGACGCCGAAGGACAGGAAGCTAGTCGTACCCTGGAGGTAAGATGAACGCAGTACATTAGGCCGAGTGTCACAATCACAGCTCACCACCCGAACAAGATTGGGAACTCACCATTCACCTGTAGGACTCAAGAAAGCTTTGCTCGATCAGCCGTCCCAACTGAATCTACACTGTTGTTGCTCTGAACATCGTACAACAAAGAGTTTGAGCTTCTCAGCGCAGTCGCAATGGAAACACCGAAGTGCAAAGTGGGGGGGGGGGCAGGAGGAAAATGTTCCGAATATGAGGGTAACGGAAAAATGGAATATTGGAGAGTTGGTGTGGGTTGATCCAGAGGAATGTAACTCCTGGTCCACTAGTACGACAGTCTGCAAGTTTCCATTTCCCTTGTGTTCAATTCTGTGCTATTTCAGAATAAGCCGAACCATAGTAATAAAAGATAAATGTACAGAAACTACGAAGGTTATTTGGAAAGCAGAGATACAAAGTCCAAAAAACATTTGTAAATCTTTTTTTCCACTTTCAGCACTTTTACAGCACAACTTTATTTACTTTTCAACATGGCCACCATGGATCACAGTGCACTTAGTGAGCCTGGAAACGAGTTTTTTTTATTCCAGCGTCGTACAAATCTCCCACCTGCTCTCTTAGCCATGTCATCACCGCGTCTTGAACCTCATCATCGTTCGAAAAAGTCTTTCAGCCAGACTTCACTCTAATTTAGTAAACAAGTGATGGTCGCTTGGTGCAAGGTCGGGACTGCGTCGTGGATAGGTCAATACTTCCCACTTGAAGGACTGCAACAACTGCGTGGAGCGAGCAGTGTGCGGACGGACGCTATTGTGCACTAAACAGACTCCTCATGTCAGCATTCCTCTCAGCTTGTTTTGAATAGCTCTATTTTCCGTGGGGTCCGTGCAATGTGATTATAAGGAAGTTTTCGGCAGATCAGAATAAGTAGTCAAGTAGTAAACAGTCGAATTTCGGGACCCCAGTGGGTCGGGATATGAGCTTGGAATTGAATTGAGTCGAGTCTTCCGAATTGGCAGTTGCAGAATAGTGGCAAGAAAGGAGTTAGGATGTGAAAAGAAGGCTCCGTGTCTGATTTAAAGTGACAGTGGGATTGTTATGAATCCGTTTCCAGGATACGATTAGTGAAGACAGAAATTTTGTGCGTGTGCAACAATGGGCTGGAAAGTGTGAAGAATAGAGATAGTGCTGTATTGCCTGTAGTCCCGAGTTTTGAATGTGTAAGGCACAATATAGCCAATAATTCAATCCAAAACCCGTCTTATAAGTCATGCGCAAACCCCCTACACATGACAATATACTTGTTATGGACTAATAGAAGCCACGGGGGTTTTTTTTTTATTTAGTAGGCTTGTCTTGGTATATTATATTTAGGGTTTCCATACGCACTTTGATAGAAAATGCTTTTAATCTTCTCATTTTAGTTTAGATTTTAGTAATATAAATTAATATTTACTTGTATGAATTTTTTAAGATATTTTCTTTTCTAAGAAGGTAAAGAGTCGGATGGGGGGCTATATTACACTTAATTAAGGGCCCCTATTTTATTAAAAATGCCCTGGCTACGTTACGGAATCTGGCACAGAATACGGATGCAAACGCTCGTCTACATTTCGTTGCAGCTTGAACCGTCGCCTGGAAGCGCTGTCCACGACGAAGTTCGGATCTCAAGACTCGGGCCTCAATCGAATTGGCTTGGCAGTGCCGAACACAAACCAACATGCAGTAGAGGGCTCCAATCCCGTGTGGGGCAACGAGGAAGCTACTGCTCCCGACTTCGACGTCATGAGGTGAGGAATTCTCTAACCGAGCATGTTTAATGAATCTGTAACGCACATCACTTTCCTTCTGAAGGTTCTCGCTTCCAACAAGGCGATTTCCGAGCATCTTTTGGTTTTCATTGGATCACTGATTATTTTTTTATAAAATTCCAAAAAAAAAAGTAAAGCTATCCCTGTACCAGGCCGCGGGTGCCCGTACGGTTGTGAGAGATTGAGTCCTCAACATTTTCTAGACAGTCGGCTCATAGATGGCGGTAAGATTGTCAGCCTTACGCGCTGGCAGCCCTTAATCCCACCCCCAGGAATCTTCCTGGTACTCATTTCTGTTAGAGGCTGAGTCGACCACAGGGCCATAGTGCGGCTCGAAGTATTAGGTTAATTGAAAATAGTCTAATGACCTCATCGGGACTCGATCTCGCGACCTTCCGGCTAGTAGCATAGTGCCTCAACCAACTATGCTACCGCGTGCCCCGATAAAATTCCATTATTATTTTAATTTACAGGTTATTTAATGATGTGTAGAAAGGACATTTTATCAGGCGTCCATAAGGGTCAGATGAGGCAACCCTTTAAGTAAGTAACAAAAGAGAGAGTCTGGATTGGAATCAGGCGGCTCACGAACACACAGCAGCAGACATGTTACATATATTGGCAAGCACTGTGCTCTGTCTATCTATCTGTCTATCTAAACGTGTGTGTCTGTCTGGCTGTCCGTCCATCCATCCAGTCATCAGACCGTCCATCCGTCTGTCTATCTGTCTTTCTGACTATCTGTCTAACCTCATGGAGGTGAGATTTCTTGAGAAGTCATCAGTTGTGCAGCTACTCAAGAACTTCCCCAAATTTTATGGAACCCGAAGGTTCATTCCCACATCATCCCATCCTATCTCTTTAAGGTCCACACATTACATCTTAGTCTTATGCGAAAATTATGAGTCCCATGGATTCCATGTCAAAGTAACCTACATATATCGTCGTAAGTGATCCTATGTTGTGCGTAACCAGAATGATTGTTACTCTGAGATCGGAACTCTATTTATGTCACTATTTATATCATGCAAATTTAAAGTATTTTCAATTGTAGAGATCTGGGTGGTTGTATCTTAGATGTAACTGATGACTGTGAAGGGAGAACCGTATTTTTGAAACTTGAATTCAGCCCTCGTCTGGTTTTGGAATAATCGTACTTTATTCACATTTCTTTGTTCACATGAGGTTATAAGGTCATCCCTAGCTCCTCCTGCCTATCGTTTCAGTTTTGCTAATGTCATTCACCACCTTCAGTATTAAAGCAGTGGTGATTCTGGTTTTCTTCGTGAGGTTCTAGTTTCGGACCTCGGTCGGCTTTTTCAGCATTTCCGTTCAGATTTAAGGACTGCATCTCAGTTAGGCTGATCGCTTCTGTCCGCTTCATTTTCAATTGAGTAAGGTTTTGATTAAATCATCCTATCATTCGACGCTATGTAGTCCCAGAAGCTGAAATCGTATAGAACCATTCAGAGATCAGTTGTTCTACTTTAACATACTAAAAGTTTGCATTTCGCCCACACAGTGTATTTATGTGTTCCTCGTGGTTCTCACAATAAACAGTGAATATTTCCCTAAACATCACTAACGGCTGGGCTTTGTAGTGGAGAAGCAAGCTGTTTCCTGTGAGGTACGGACTAAATTTCTATATTTCATTTAGAAGAAATTAATTTATAAAGGGTAAAATAATATATAAATAAATAAATAAAACCTTTCATCAGGCTTCTAATAAAAAACTGCACAACTAAGCCTACTGCTAATCCGTACTGGAACTTAAATGCGTAATTTACTGATTTGGAAAAACAGCATTTATCAATTGAATGTGGAGAGAATATTTTAGTGGTACGTGAATGTATTTACATATTACGGATCCTTAGTGTACAGCAACTTAACAGCAGGATCTTAAAACTTATAATGCTGATATATGTTTAGGAAGCATTGTCTAGTTCTGTAGAATTTAAAATATTTTCAGGAGGTGTAATACGAGGCTGAACGATTCGTACAATTCTTCGTTTATAAACTAACACGTTTTAAGAAAATTCTTCTTCCAGTCACTGAAGACTTCAGATAGGCTGGCGGCGCGTGTTACAGCCGTTTCTTACAAGGGAACCAATAAGTGACATCCTTCCAAATGATCAGCGTTGAGGTGTCACGTTATTGCGTGCGTATCAGGGACGTTTATGAAACGGCTAGATGCACTGGAATCAGAGCAATGCAGTAGGAACCTCTGGAACCCAGTGCGGATGCATGTTAAACAGTTTGTTTATCTACGAGAGGGATCTGTTAATTTTTATTCAGAACAATAAAATTAAACAAGTAATTTTAGTCACCATAGTCGAAAATATAACCCAAATTGAAATATTACCGTAATTTTTTATCCACATACATTTTGTAAAAATTAGTTTTAGTATATTAAGACCGTATAGGCTTATAAATTGAACTTCTTACCGCCCACAGCCCCGTCATAAGTTAGAAAGCCTAAACAATTTTCACTTTCTTCAATAAAATGAAGACGATACGCTGATCATATTAATTATAGTAAAAATTTCTCAAAATTGCATCTTTTATTCTCCGTTCCGTTTAAGAATGACACATGGAAGTAATTTCTATGTATTAGGTAGAAGCAGATTTTAAACTGTTCTAACGATGGTCTATAACACTCAGAATTACTGGGTCCGGTATTATGGAAAAGTAGAGAACACAACGTTTAGGAAACTGTATCTGTTTCCGTCTTCAGGCGCAGGGAATCCTGGGAACGGTCTGACTTGAAGGTGGAAGATATTGTTATACTATTGGTAGTTTGTTTGAGAACCACATACGAGTATATTGAGGTAGATGATAAGTTCTTCCAAAAGATATATGGCATAGTTGTGGAGTACTCTTTATCATACATCCTTAATATCTTCACGAAACATTTAGAGAAATTACTTATTAATTCGGCACAACACAAACCATTGCCGTGGCTCCAATATTATGATGATACATTGGTGGTCTGGCCTCACTTCCTAGTTTGATTACAGAATTTCCTCAACAGAGTTTAAGGTCTTCGTGCCCGTTCTCCCTATACAAAGAGTGAGACAGTGCAATCCCTTTGTGGGCGATCTGGTCACCAGGAAAGAGAGGACACTGGCCACCAAAGTTTAGAGAAAATCCTCTCACGCTGGCCGAAAATTAACTTCAAATCTAATCATTCCCCACATGCGAAAAGAGGTTTAATTCAGAGCCTTCACAATTGAGGTTCCGCCATACTCGTATGCCAAGAACGACAAGATTTGTTTAATGAGATAGTAGTCTGAGACGTGATCTCCAGCTCAGCGGTTATCCCCAAGGTTTTATTGACTCGGTCATTAATTCCAAGGGTAGCTGTCATCTGAGTAAAGAGCAGAAGCCCCTGGGCTCTGTGTGTAGCCCATATGTGTAGGGCAAAAGTAAAGCTATCCCAGTACCAGGCCGTGAAGGTTGTGAGACATTGAGGGTCCCACATTATCTAGACAATCGGCTGAAAGATGGCGGTAAGGTTGTCAGCCTTACACGCCGGCCGCGCTTTACTCCCCAGGAAAATTACTTATTTAATTCCTGGTACACATTTCTGTTAGAGACTGAGTGAACCCCAGGGGCATTATGCGGCTGGAAGGATTAGTTCAAACGTACAACATTAAGACGATCTTCAAAAGCAAACACACTCTTAGGAGTTCACTCATGAAAACCAAGTGGGAAAGGGATTCGCAACAGACGGCACAGTGCATATATAGAATTCCCTGTGAATGTGGCAGAAGCTACACTGGCGAAACAGGCACACCTCTAGCCATGCGGTTACGTGAACACAAAAATAAATAGAAAAATAAAAATTAGCCCAACATTCCTATGAAGAGTGTTGCTGGGTAGGCTGGGATGGAGCTAGGATTTTGGAAATTGAAAGTAATAAAAAGAAGATGAAATACAAGGAATGGGCCCACATGAAATGCTTAATCAGTGTTATGAGCCAACCCAGTTTGGACATTTCTCCCACCTGGATCCCCCTTATCTACAAGGAGGTTAGCAGCTCACAGAGATCAGGATGACGTGACAGATTCTTCATGTGTTAGTATAAGGTTTTTAGTGCAGAGAGTTAGGTTTTACTCCACAGATTGAACTAGCAGTAGGAACAAAAGGGTTTAACAAATTCTCCATTTTACTCCTTGCATAGGCTTTCATTCACTTGGTTTACTGGATAGGTTTGTTGCATTAAATTTTCACCTCGGTTTCTAAGTTAGATTTAGGTCTGTGCATGATTTATAGGTATTTTTTGCACATTTTTCTGTTATCTCTCCTCGACAAAGCCTGGTCTCCGTTATTTATATATATGTAGTTATACTGACATGGGGTGACTAGCGTTCAAGTGACTAAGCTGCTCTTGTGGCGTAAAATAGGTAAGATATGCAAGCTCTGCTTTGCAAAGCCTGTACTGACAGTGAACTTGAGTGTAGTGCACAAGGAAGAGAATTTCAATAACACGCTATATGAACGAAATATACACTTGACGAAAGGCCAAGCATGTTCATAAGAGACAATCCCATCTTTAAGTCGGAGAGGTTGTTACATATAAAGAAAGCAGTCTTCTGGGATTTTGCACCGTGTATATGTGGTATTAACCGACGTTTCGGAGGAACGTATCGCCTCCATCTTCAGGGTAGAAGAAAAAATATATAAGAAATCTGCAAGCAAAGAGACCGTGAGAACCGGAAAAGCAGACTGGAAAAATACCCAGCTATGTGAGAGCAGTGAGGGAGAAGGGGGAAGGGCAAGTATACAAGTGAAAGCAGTAGTGTGGGAGGGGTAGGGGAAGGGAGCTGGGACAAGCAAGGTTTTTGTGTAGGGGAGAGAATGGCAAGTTGAAGACTGGGCATCAGCCGTGAGCTGAGGGGTTGGGGTTGTTATGTTGGTTGGTCATGGCCTGTGTGGCCTGGATCTGGCGTCATATCCCGGTGGGGGTTTTTTAAGAGAACAGATGAGAGGTTTCCAAGACTTGCTGAGACAAAACCCCCCCTCTCTGTTCATATTTCCTGGATGCAGTTGAATCTCAATAGCCTCCCTAATAATGCGATCCATATAGCGGGTCTTGGTGGCGAGGATGGAGGTATTCTGAAGCTGAATTCGGTGTCCCAGATCGATGCTGTGTTCAGCTACGGCCGACTTGTCCGGTTGTTCGAGACGGATGTGCCGCTGATGCTCCTTCAACCTCATGTCCACGGAGCGGCCTGTCTGCCCAATATAGACCTTCCCGCACTCGCATGGGATACTGTATACACCCGGTGTCCTTAGGCCCAGGCTGTCTTTAACCGGCACATTACATATAAATAATTACCTCAAGGGTTCAGTCGAAAAAATCTCTGGTAGTGGGTCTCAAGGGGCTTGACGCCAAGACGAACTGATTGGTGGTAAATTTCCAGTCGTAAAGTAATTTTGACTTTGACTAGGAGAGACCTGGCCCTCCAGGTTAAGGGAGTCTCGAATCTGAGACAGCAAATAGCGTCATGAGTCCCGCGTGACTTGGACGTGAGAATGACTGCGCTGACGAGGCCCAACAGCAAATGTAAACGGCAGACCCAACCTCTCGTCATAGAGGAAGGACTAACTGCAAGTGTTCGGTTGGAAAATAGAAATTCTGGTCATGGGTCTAAAGGGGCTTGTAGCCAAGACGAACTGATTGTCGATAAACCGCCAGTCGCAAAGTAACTCTGACTATGACTCAGTGGCATGTGCTGTCCAGTGATTGAAGTTAGCTTTCTCTTAAGGAAACAAACAGAGTAGGTGCCTTGTCCTTACCTGAGGAAGGAAAGAGTTTCCGGAACGTTGGGTTCTCTAGTTTTTTATAATACCGTATCACGGACAAACTTAAAAAGTGTAATTATGAGATTTATTAAGTAATTTGATATGGTGACTTGGTATAATTTGGATAAAAATAATATGTTCCACTCACACATAATTTTCACAAATTTTAGTTTACACAAATTATATGAACAGTAGGAAAAACAATCTTGTATTTAAGCAGTCTGTTCCATTACTACATTCAAGCTTGTTTACATACATTTTTCCGTCAATAATGCAACTATTTTTCCTTCATTCATATTTGCTTTCGCTATTAATATGTTTCGGCACCAAACGGCCATCCTCAGGTGTTACATTATGCCAAAACTGCTACGCTGCACTGAGTATTGTCCATTCCACACGCAGGTAACTGAAAATTTCGTAATTAAAATGTTACAGTGGCACTCAACTCTTGTGCGTTTAAATCTTACATGCTACAGCTCACTCCATTTTTAATTATATAAAACTCCTAAATCCACCTCATAAGAGTATCGTCCACTTACCTAAGCAATATATCCTTCTTCGGTTGTTTCCATTGCAGCGGCTCACCTTTTCCATATGCAATCCCGTTGTTGTGTTTTGTCTGCAATCTGAAATGTGTAAGAACTCACATACTGATTTTGTTTCTTGATGTTACTAGTGTTATGTTTTGTTTGTTTACTCTTATACTCAGTGTGCCCCTTGTTTTCCGTTGTTCCCACAAGCCGCGTATCGTGTTGTTACGCATGACGTCAGTACACCATAAGCGACTTTGGGAAGAACTGACAAGCAAGGAGAAAAATTGTAGACAAGACATAACAACGGGCTTGCATGATGCTGCTGATGATGATGATGACAACGATGACGATGTAATCCTCAGATATGATTTATCCACAGAGAATAACCGTGGTCACAACCCAGAGGACCAATTTCTGGTCCCTTTTCCGGTGATTCATATACCTTTACTATATATTTTCAGCCAAAGCAGTGGGGATTCAGACTTGATTGGCATCGAAGAGAACCCCGAATTCAGCCCATATGCAAGGAATGGTGTACAAAATGGCGGCTTTACCCCTGAGATGGGAAGCGGAATACAAGCCAGTGTAAATGTCACAGTAGCGACCGGATTTGAGCGGAGGGCCAGTATCAATCCACTGTCAGCCGGTGCTCTGCAAGACGCCATAGCGGGAAACACTATGAGAAAACAAAGCGTGAATCCCATGGCGGTAACGTTCAACGGCAACGATTCGGATTACGAAAACGACAGTAGAAGATCCAGCGATAAGAGCATGCAATACAATAACAATTTCACATTTTTTCAGAGGTCGGATTCCGCACAAGCAACGGAACTATAGAGGCGTCCATGGCTTCACCGCACACACTGAACCTGCAGAACAATTTTGTGTACACAATGACTTATTGTTATATTTCCCTTACAGTGCCAAAATCGATTAGGTAGACGGTAAGGCATTGCGGTACCAGCATCGGTATTATTCATATTGAACCCATAATCCACTTGTAATTGACACACGCAACTGGTCAGTGGCGATATAGGCCGAAATATGCAGTAATGTTCTGAGATATTAAGAGTAACAATGTTGGAAATAACAAATGCCCTTACCGAGATAACAGTAACAGATATACCTGCAAAACCCTCAAATATTCTGTGGCTTTCCTTGGTTATTTAAGGTATCTGAAAATTGGCGATAAATAATTAATAACTCGCTGCATGAGACAGAGGGTGACAGTTCGTAATTATCCCCTCTTTACCACTTTTGTAAAGGAAGTGTTTGAAATCAAAATTGTAGCCGCAGTACAATCGAAGATGGCTAATAATGTGTTTGACTATGTAAGAACATGAAAACAGAAATATGATTTTTATTCACAGAAATAAAATTTATTAAATATATTTTTACATAGAATATATAATATACTACAAATAAACTACAAATGACTATAAAATCGATAGCGTTTCTAGACCCACTTTCAACATTTGAGTATGATACAATAATATTAAAACAAATTGAAACTCTGCCTTCCTGATAAATATAACTGAAAAAAAAACTTGCTGAAGGCCTAAAACAAATTCATGCAGTTAGTATTTAATCTAAAATCAAGTTCTCTGTTCTTTTATGGAAGGAATATTATAGTGAAAACCAATATTACGGTTATTAAGTATTACCTTACGTCACATTAATTCTGCTATTTTTATAAATGTATCGCAAGATAGTTTAATATTCCTATCGTAACTCAGTTCAGTTCATTTGTTAGAATGCTTGCAGTGGTCTGTTAAAGGCGAACACTTAAAAATAAATAATGTAACAAATTGAAGAAACAAAACAAACAAAATGAAAATCACAATGTAATGCCCTGGTGGCGCAGGGGGGGCGTGAAGGTATCCCTCCCTGCCACCGCTGTAATGCCGTCGGGCAGGGGGGCGTGGAGTCAGCCTCCTCTGCTACCACCGTAACGCTGCAAGTAGGGGGGCGTGGAGTTATCCCTCCTTGCCTCCACTGGTTATGTCGTAAACTGGTACCACTGGTAACGTCGTGCCGTCGGGGGTGTGGTGCAGGTACCCCTCCTTGCCACCTCAGCTTATGCTGTAAGGAGTTATCACAATCATCCTAGCTCACCCTTAGCTAGGATTCTCCTGTTCGGGGTTTCCTTCTCGGTAAAAGCTGCCACCATCTATTTTCTGTCCTTTCGATTGTGGGGACTACTCCCTGGCAGGTAGTCCTTGCTCCTTGACCACTCCTCNCTCCCGTAGTTTACAGGTAACGACTTAATACTTTATTAATACACTTTATCATTATATCTTAAGGGGCGTTTGTATCTAGGCTACTCAACTCTGCCTGTGTGGCAGGTGCCTATCCCTGTTTGTCTTTCTTTGTCTTCGGCTGCTACTGCTGCCTGTGTCAGTTCAGCCCTCGCTCGGTCAGGATTGCTCGGGATCGGATGTGGAAGGTTGGTTATGGATATGAATCACAACCCCGGTACATCCTATCCTATCTATTCTAGCTGTCTATTTACATTATTATATATACAAGATTTACATTATTTACATTATTAACAAGGCCGACATACCGTCAGGTCGGCATAGAGTCTTTACTATACGATAGACTCCTCCAAGTTCTTCCCCTTCGGGGATGGAGGCCTCGAGCCTCTCTCTCTCTCTCTCTCTGACATAATCTACTGAGGACAAGCAAGCCCTCCTCGTTATCATCAATCTTTTAGTTGTACATTTCTTACTACGTCTTATATACAATTCTACTATCTTTCATAAAGTTCCCTCGAAACGTGATCTACCCTTAAATATCTATATTAAATTCCCACATACTATAGTTACCACTACACCCTATGTGTAACCTTGACACCGACATATAAGTACACTATCTATACATCTTAACCCAATCTATCCTTGGTTATACGTATCGAATCCCGCATACTATCTTTACTACAACACACTAACCCTAACCTTGATATATATATACTATAAATCACTGATTGCCTGACTAATATCCTAGGCTTTTACAAGATGCTGGTATCCTACCCTAAGGGCTCACTGGGTACACTGGAATTTGCACATTGAAACTATCTCAACAACACTGTTATCACCAATACTATTAAACAACGATATTATCAATCAGCATGGCTATTATGCGTAAATAAACTTACGTGAAGTACAAGATGCCGGCCCACTACCTCCGCTGGTAATTCCCATGTTGAAGAGAGCCGTCGGCTGACAACCGAATATTCTGTGATAGAACGTGTTCCAAAACCCCCGAAATTCCCTAATTTATGGTTTTATTTCGCTGATTCGGCGTTGACGACAGAGGGTAGGTGACTCCCCCTCAGTGTCCTCAATCCTCAAATCACCTCCTCATTGGCTCTCATGGGTGGTTGTGGGCGGACCCCTTGCGTCTTATTGCTGTGTAAGCAGTCTTTTATGATCATTCTAGTGACCGAGTGAGGCAAGCTTCTGGCTTTGTGAGTACACAGAGACTTGCTGAGTATCCACATTCTTAACCTAATTGCCAGTCCTGGTGTTTACATTTTACGGCAATAACTGCGAAACGTTTTTCGCAAGTCTCTAACATTTGGGTAATACCATACCCTCTTCAATCTCAAATTTGGGCCATAACACACAAATTACAAGACAAATGTGTCCTCTAGGGAAACAGTGTTTATATTCATAACATGAATAATTGGTATCGCCGAAAACTTTGGCGTCCTTCGCGTACAGAATGAATCTTGCTTAGAGTACAAATGAAAAACTATCTAATAAATTTAGAAGGTATATGAAGACTATAATAAAAATAATGGAAACGACGATGATGATAATAATAATAATAATAATAATAATAATAATAATATAACGCTTTATCCTCATGTTCGTTATGATCATGTAAGTTAACACGCACATAATAATTTTCCATAGAATATTTCATAAATATTTAGCGCCAGTTGTGTGGGTATTGCAACATATTTTTATAAAATAATCCTCTGTATTGTGAGAATAAAGCTAATGTTAGCAATACGCGACATGGAAGAAAACATTTATATTGTATTTGAAATGAAAGAGAATCAAAGAACTGGAAAGACCATTAGATGCTTCTTTGAACGTAACTTCTCGGCAGATTTTTTTTTTCCTGTTTTAGCCGAATATAATAGTTTGAAGCGTGGTATATCAGCGCATGAACTTCGGATGTGCTCAATTTTCTAACTGGCCAATTAAATTACATTGGTCATATTTTACCCGAAATACATTGGACTTATAGTCAAGGTTAAGCAATGGCATGATGAGAAAATGGAGACGGTTTTACTTTCTACACGAGTTTGTATGGTTCACACGCAACGGTCTCATACTTATGGATGATTTCTTGCGAAAATCTTACTGCAGCTATTCATGAAACTCCCCAGGGAGACTTTGTTACAGCAAATGTCAACACGACATTTGTCGCATTTGTAATAAACAGGGAAAGATGCCTCCTGCTTTACCGACTATGAAGTAATCCTGCTGTTTTCTTCTAGGACATGCTACATTCCGGGAGAAAGTGAATTATATGTTAAAATTGTCTCAATTAGCATATTTCGTTCAATTGCTATACCCACCGTTTCGAAGTTTCATTGCTTTTTATGGTAGTATTTGCTACCTACTTCGCTGCTGACGCAGCGTGTTGCTGCAGCGCTCTTGAAAAGGGCCCGCTTCATATCTCATCAAGGACATGAAACATATGGACTGAGGTTTTGCTAGATGTCTCAAGGCAAATGCCGATCTAGTACCTCTATTAAGCGATGACATTTTAATTCCAAATCCTTTCAAAATCATTACTCACATTATTATCGAAGAAATATATGGTCTATATACTGATGGCTTCCTAAAATGAACAACAAAGGAAACTTCGCCTCGCCATTTTATAAATAATCTTAGTATCTAATATGCAGACAATTTAAACTGCAGGTGGCAAGTATCTATTTTAAGTAAGCATCATCGTGAAGGTCACAATAGGTGACGACAGAGAAATTTCTGTTGTAAGGGGCACCTAGTGACATTTTACAAAAATAAGAAAACACCATCCACCAACAGGAAACTAGTAGAAAACGAAGTACTACAAAAGTAAAAAAGACCCACTAATGTAACAAGGGAAGCTAAGAGCGTAAAAGAAAATAAACACACGCACGAAAGTGTTCCGGTTTATAACCCCATCCTAAAATAATAAAAAGAGTGAAAACCCGTAAAAATAGCGTGTCCGAAATCATAATCTTAAGCAATACCATTCTAATTGTATTGTGTAATGTGATTACAGAGTTAATTTGTATGTTGAAAATGCATTAATTCTTCTAAATTTTCCTCTCTGTCCGCACTGTGTCAAGAAGTGTGTTAATGCGGGACCTTATGATTCCGTTAAAATATTCAGTTGAAATATTACGTTTCTTTAATTATATATAAACTGTTTCAGAAGGAAGAAATAGTAGAGGGTAAATCCTAGAAAATTTCCGAATTTGAAAAAAGTATGTAATAATTTAAATTCTAAACTCAATAAAACAGCACAATATTTCACAAAGAACTTCACCATACACGGATATATGAGTAATTAACACGAACTGGACAAGTGAAGAAAAGCCGCAAGCACTTTAAGTATCAGACTTCGTACGTCTTTTATATCTGCTTTATGAAGAGTAAATTGATGAAATAATAACTTAGGAAAACCTGTTTTACACTTCCTCCTTTTTATGCTATAGCATAATAGGTTAATCCCGTCACGTAAGCGTACTTATCAATTGAAATATATTGTCTTTGTTTAAATTATGTGGTATTTCTGAAACAACCGAGTAGGTCGATCTGGTGATAAAGTTTTAGACTTTTATTTGGGAGATACTTGGTTCGACTCTTGGCCGGGATACCAGATATTTCGTGAATTCGCTTAATCCCTTCAAATAAATTTGGCGTATATTTAGTCCCTAGCCACTTCTAACAAATCGAAGCTACATAGTATAGATACTGGCAACGTCAAAAAGTATGCCATACAAATATTTCAAGCATTTTACAATTTGATGCATGTTGTTTAGAAGCACAATGTAAAGACGTATCTTTAACGTACAAAATGAGAATGAAAATCGTGATCTGCCAATGAAACCGTAATTCATGTTTCATGGATCAGTTTTTAGCAGACTTCCATTAAATCCATGATAAAAGACAAATCGGAACTCTGTTTCAGCAGCTGAAATCGTAAAAGCGGCGACATTTACATAGGGTGCGGTGCCAACTGTGAGACGAGCCTGTTTCATGCCAGTAAATAACGGGCACGAAAGCAATTTTAGTCACGAAACCTGCACCATAAATCTCGAGGCACGAGAATTTTGTGTCAGACGCAGTTCGTAAATAAACCAAACATAAGAGAGCTTGTGCCTTTCATTGCGCTGATCGCCATGATGAAGCTAACGCTTGCGTGAACAGAAGAAACAACTAAATTTGAAGTAAGAAGTTGGCTCCTGAAATTGTATCCAGTGAATTAAGAATTAAATGCAGTGAAAACATACTTTTGCAAAACAACCAAGAAAACGTCATGATATAAATTTTGTGTGAATATTTTTCTGCGAAATTTATTCTATAAAGTAGAAATAATCTTACAATTTTTACTCCAAGATTAAACAGATACAAAACAGGATGCATGAGTACTGCAAAATATAAATTACAAGGCCCAGTGTCCTGGTTCCACTTTAACAAATTTTGGAAGGAAAGGAAACCATTTTCATAATATTTTATTTTATGCATCGTTCCCCTTTTTGATAAATTTATCTATGTATATATACAGAGTGTCCCAGGGGTAATGTGCCAAACTTCGGGGGGGGGGGGGTTCCTTATGTTAAAGTATGCCGATATAATCCAAAACACCTATATCCAAAGTTGAACGTTTACGGAGATAATGGCCCGAGAAAAGTGTGGTCTTCTGGAGGGTTCACGCACTATACCTGTCAGCTGAGACGTCTTATCTATGTTTGTCCTTGA